TCAGGAGGACAGGGTCAGGTTGTCACCCAGGCGCTAATGCCCGAGGGCGGGGCCTGACCCAGAGAAGCTAGGTCACCTGCCACTCCCTCAGAACCCCAGCCTCTCCAACTGGTCCTGAGTGTACGGGATGCAGCCCCAATCCGCTATTGCAGAATTGCACTCCTAGCACCCAACAGGCCTCTCCCCCCACCCCGTGACCAGCCTGCCCCAAGGCTCAGGGGGCATCTGGAAGGCTGGTGGTATCAATGTGGCCTGGGTGGGCTGATGGTGGGTGGGCAGGGGCTGGGGAGACGCATGAGGATGAAGGAAAACGGGAGAGAGGGATGGATGCACAGAAAGAAAAAGGATGGGCACAGGGCTACGGGGTGAGTGGGCAGATGGATGAGTAGCTGGAGGGATGGGTGGTGGGCGGATGCATGGATAAATGGATGGATGGATGGTGAGTGGGTGGAAGGGTGGATGGGTTAATGGATGGATGCGTCGGTGGGTGGATGAGTGAGTGGATGGATGGGTGAATATATGGGTGGGTGTATGAATTCATGAATGGATGGGTGGATGGGTAGATGGGTGGGTGGGTTGGTGGATGGATGGATGGGTGGGTAGGTGGGTGGGTAGGTGGGTGGGTGGGTGGATGGATGGGTGGGTGGGTGGGTAGATGGGTGGGTGGATGGATGGATGGGTGGGTGGATGGGTGGGTGGATGGATGGGTGGGTGGGTTGGTGGATGGGTGGGTAGGTGGATGGGTGGGTGGATGGATGGGTGGGTGGGTAGATGGGTGGATGAGTGGGTGGATGGATGGGTAGATGGGTGGATGAATGGGTGAGTGGGTGGATGGATGGGTGGGTGGGTGGATGGGTGGGTGGATGGATGGGTGGATGGGTGGGTGGATGAGTGGGTGGATGGATGGGTAGATGGGTGGATGGATGGGCAGGTGGGTGGGTGGATGGGTGGATGGGTGGATGAGTGGGTGGATGGATGGGTAGATGGGTGGATGGATGGGCAGGTGGGTGGGTGGATGGGTGGGTGGGGGGGTGGATGGGTAGATGGGTGGGTGGGTGGGCAGGTGGGTGGATGGATGGATGTGTAGGTGGGTGGGTGGATGGGTAGATGGGTGGGTGGGTGGATGGGTGGATGGATGGATGTGTAGGTGGGTGGGTGGATGGGTAGATGGGTGGATGAATGGTTGAGTGGGTGGATGGATGGGTGGGTGGGTGGATGGGTGGGTGGATGGAAAGTGCGGGGTGATGGATGGTGGGTGGGTGGATGGATGGGTGGGTGGGGGGGTGAATGGGTGGGTGGATTGGGTGGTGGGTGATGGGTAGATGGGTGGATGGGTAGATGGGTGGGTGGATGGATGGGTGGGTGGGTAGATGGGTGGACAGATGGATGGATGGGTAGATGGGTGGATCATGGGTGTGTAGGTGGGTGGGTGGATGGATGGGTGGGTGGGTGGGTGGGTGGGTGGATGGATGGGTAGGTGGGTGGATGGATGGGTGTGTAGGTGTGTGGGTGGATGGGCAGGCAGATTTGTTGGTTAAAGGATGGATGAGGAATAGGTGATGGAAGGTCATGGATGGACAGAAAGGAACGAGGGAAGGGGAATTTGAGCACCATCTCCCTTGAATAACAAGCAGCAATTAAACTGTATTTAACCAGTGAACTCAATGAATTTTGTTTTGACTCCAGCTCAGCTTGCCTTCATGTGTGTCATCCACCAGGCTTCCCAGGCCCACCCCTCCTCCCAGGCCGGGGTCCCAGCTCCCATACCAGGAGAGGAGAGAGGCACCTACAGAGGTTGGTCCTGCCCTGCGTGCCAGGGCCACCTTGCGGACAGTCCTCTTGCTGTGAGCCCCACCACAGGGGTTCCAAGGCCATGAGAGCGCCTGGGCCTCCAATGAGAGGGACGAGCAGCCAGGCAGGGATGGGTGGAGAGGGGCCAGAGCGGGGCTGAGTCCATGGCATCCCTCAGCTTTGTCCTCTTGTCCCAACCCTCGTGGTCTCTCTTCCATTTTCTTTTTCCCAAGATTTCTTTATTGGAATGGCAGATTTACAAAGAAAAATCTTCCATCTACTCCCTAGATTCACACAAGGGCCAGGTGCCTGAGACGCCACCCAGGTCTCCCGCGTGTGTTCAGAGACTCAGGTACTTGCTTCGCCCTCAGCTGCTTCCCTAGGTGCGTTAGCAGGGAGCTGGGTTGGAAGTGGAGCAGCTGGGACTCAAACCTATGCCCACGTGGGATGCTGGCATCAGATGTTTAGCATGCTGCGCCACAACATGCTCCCTTGGGGCTCTCTTCTCTCTTTCCACTGTTTCCTGGCAGGGCTAACTCAGGGGAGGGGGCAGCTGTCCCTGCAGCCTGCGGATGCCGCGTCTCCAGTGTCCACTCCCTCCAGGTTCAGGGAGGGGCAGTGGGCATGGCCAGACAGCACGGGGAGCTGGGACCCCCGCCCAGCCTCCTCTCCTGCTCCTGTGCGTGATGGCGCAGAGACGGGAGCTCCTGCTACCTGCCCCCCTACTCTGGACGCTGTGGGGGTGTCTTCTCACCTTTTGGGGCCACCTGAGTGTGTGTGGCCCAGGCTCTGGGACAGACAGCCCAGCATGACCCACTCCCCATCCACCCACACGCCCAGGCATCCAACCATCTCCAGGTCCTGAACACAGGATGTCCGTGTGACGAGGCTTGCTCCTGCGGCCTCCGAAGGAGGCAACGCAGCTGGTGCAAATGCAAGGAGAAGGTGGGTGAGCATTTGAAGCAAACACAAAGTTGAAATCCCTGTTAACGGGTCCCCGAAATGTCTGGGGAAAATGCGTATGATCAAAACCAGATGGTGTGGACTTCAAAATTATTTTAAATATTTCTTTTTACATTAGAAGAAGAGCCGGAAAGAAGGAGGGAGGGAGGGAGAGAAAGAGAGAGAGATCTTCTATCTGCTGGTCCCCCCCCGCCCCCAATGGCTGCAACGCTGGACTGCTCTGAAGCCAGGAGCCAGGAGCTTCTTCCGGATCTCCCACATGAGTGCAGAGTCCCAAGGCTTTGGGCCGTCCTCGACTGCTTTCCCAGGCCACAAGCAGGGAGCTGGGTGGGAAGCGGAGCAGCCGGGACACGAGCTGGCGTCCATATGGGATGCCATCACAGCAGGTCATGGCTGCTGTGCCATAAATGCCAGCCAGATTTTGAAAACTGCATCAAAATAAAACTCTTAACTCCATTTTTCACCAACGAGTTGAGGTGTCTGCGGGGAAACGCCCACCCGAGGGGTGCCCTTCCTCTCACCCCCGTGCACGAGTCCCTGCTCCAATCCCCCTTCCTAAGGGCACTGGCCACACCGGGGTGGGGACCGCCTCCCTCAGGCGCCCTCGTCCTGGCTGATTTCCAGATAAAGTCGCCTCTTCCTCTCTTTCTCTCTTTTTTGCCTTTTCTTGTTTTTTTTAAGATTTACTTATTCCTGGGCCCGGCGCAGTGGCGCAGTGGTTAAGGTCCTCGCCTTGCAAGCCCAGGATCCCATATGGACGCCGGTTCTAATCCCGGCAGCCCCGCTTCCCTTCCAGCTCCCTGCCTGTGGCCTGGGAAAGCAGTCAAGGACGGCCCAAAGCTTTGGGACCCTGCACCCGCGTGGGAGACCCGGAAGAGGCTCCTGGCTTCGGACCAGCATAGCATCGGCCGTTGCGGCTCACTTAGGGAGTGAATCATCGGACGGAAGATCTTTCTCTCTGTCTCTCCTCTCTGTATATCCGCCTTTCCAATAAAATAATAATAATAATAATAATAATAAAAGATTTACTTATTCCTTTGAAAGGCTGAGTGACAGTATGACAGAGATCTTCCACCTGCTGCCTCACCCCCAAACACCCACACCGACCAGGGCTGGGCCAAGCTGGAGCCCGGAGCCAGCAGCTCCAGCCAGGTCTCCCACGTGGGGTCCACGGACGTGGGGTCCTCAGGCGCGTTAGTGGGAGCTGGCTCCGCAGCAAAGTCACACTGACTTGAAAGGAGATGTGCACGTGCAGCAGCAGCTTAACCCACTGCCCCACCTCCCCCCCACAGCCCGCCTCCCAGGAGTTAGGACAAGGAGCAATTTGAGGGGCTGGGGACACACCAGTCTTCTCATAGTGGGTAACTACAATCCTTTAACCCCTTCCTGATCATGCCCTATAGAGGCTCCCTGGCCTCCCACAGAGGGTCTGGGACACCAAGGGCACTGCGGCCGGCACCTTCAGGGGGCCACCCTGGGGGCCCCACCCGTGCTGCACTGAGGCCCAGGCCACGCCCCTCACCCGGGCCCCTGTCCACCTGGCCCTGTCCAGGATGGAGCAGGGACACATTCCCACACACCTAGGCTCTCATTGGAGCGCCCGAGGGCCCCAGCCCATGGCAGACCAGCTGCGGGGGCCAGAGTCCGCTGAGCAGCTGCTCGGGTAAACAGCCTCTGCCCAGGTTGGACAACGCACCCCAGGGCTCCGGGGACGACCAGCACAGAGCAGGGCTGGCCTGCAGGGCTCAGGGTGCCCAGGCACTCCCAGTCCCTGGGAGTGTGGACCGAACGGCCTTCTGCCTCGCTTCTCCCCTCAGAGAGCCCAACATGCGTGTCCACTCATACAGGTGCACGCAGCTGGGCACACGCAGGCACGGGGCCTCACATGCCCCCGCCACGTGCATCCACACACGGGAGCCGGCCCACCCTTTCCACACACACAGAACAGCTCTGGTGTCCCAGAGCAGTGACCTGCGCAAGCCAAGGACTGGAATGGGTGCTGCGGTCCCCACCCCACAGCGCCTGCGCGGCCTCTGCTGTGGCCCAGGCAGGCACAGCCCAGAAAAACGCGAAATACTTTAATGTTTCTGGAGAAGCCGCCCACACCAGGGACACCCGTGCGGCCTGGTCCCTGCGCTGCGTCTTGGTGTCCCCCACAACCCTCCTGGTTCCATCGGCGAAGGAGGGTCCGCAGGTCTTGGGTGGCAAAACCCTTAGCAGGGCCCGGGGCTGGGGCAGGAGGACGGTTAGGGGCACCTGCCACAGTGCGCGGCAGCCCCCAGCTCCCCGATGGTGATGGGTGCCGTGCCCGAGGGCAGGGCCCGGGTGCGCGACGGCTTCCTTCCCGGCTGGCCTTCCCGGCTCGCCTTCTGTCCTCTGCGCCGCCTGGGCAGGCGTGGCCGGGCAGCGCCGTGGTGCAGCAGCCGCAGCAGCTCGTGGTCTTTGGGGTCCAGCACGCGGGGCAGGAAGAGCGAAGACTTCTGCGTGCGGCGCGTCTTGAAGCCGCGGCGGGGCCGGCCCTTGCCGTTCACCGACACATACCACAGTCTCTCGGGCGCCGGTTGCCGCTGCGCCCCGGGCCGGCCGCCGGGCGTCGAGCGGTACAGGCGCGATGCATACGTGTTGTAGCCCAGCTCGTGGATCCGCTCCACAAACTCGCACTCGGCGCTGTAATGTTCCTGCGGTGGAGAGTGGGGTGGCGTGAGAGGCGCCCCCTTTCCAGGCTGCTGCACCTGCCCTGGGCACTGACCCTTGACCTGGCCTAAAGGTGTCCTGGCCCGAAGCCAGGGATGGACAGGCCCACCCAGGGCCAGACTTCCTTCTCTACACCGGGGTGTGGCCCCTGCCATCCGGCCCTGGCGGCTCCCCGCACTGAGGAAGGGCCTGCGGCCCAGGGAGGTGACCACGGGGAATCCAGCCCCACGCCCAGAGCAGCGCCTGACCAGGCAGGGTTCTGGGCACTAAAGGCTGCGTCCCCAGGCTGGGAGGGGCCAGACACCCCAACACAGCAGTGCTGAGTGTGGGGCTTAGGCTGTGTGAGGGAGTGGGCACCGCAGGGAGCTTCCAGGTGTCACTGTCCCAGCGGGACACACACTGGCCCCGGCTTGGTGCTCTGTTACTGCCCGCTCCCACGGCGCGGTGGTCCAGGCAGGGACACTGCCCGCAGGTCCCACAGGCCTGGAGGGCACCTGCAGAGGGCGCTGACGGACGCAGCTCTGTGACCTCCAAAGAGAGGGCTCGGGCCATCCGGGGTGGGGGGCAGAGACGCCTGGACTGGCCCAGGGAGGGGGTGAGCTCAGTGGCCACAGAAACAGCTGTGGTGGGGGCTGCTGGGCGTCCTGCTGGCCACCCGATCCTGCCGTCCCTCCCTGTCCCTTTGTCCTGGCCTACATCAGCAGGTCCCAGCAGCAGTGGCTGGGTAACACGGGGTGTCACTGCACCCGGGGAGGCCGCCCGGGAAGGAGCAGGAGCCAGGCTGGGACCGTGAACGCCAAGGAGCGAGCAGCGCGCAGCTCGCCTGTACAACTCGGGGCTTCCGGAGCCTGCAGGCCGCCTGAGTGCAGAGCCACTGGGGAACGGAGGCCTGGAGGCCAGGACATGGACAGAGGGTGGGTGTGCTCAGGCCACTCAGTGCGGAAGGCCGGCTGGGCCGGTGGGCACGTGGAGGGGTGGGTGGGTGGACAAGTGGGTAGATGGATGGGTGTGTTGGGGGATGGATGGGAGGTTGGATGGATGGGTGTATGGGTGGGTGGGTGGAAGGTAGGCGGACGGATGGGTGGGTTGGGAGTTTGGGGGTCCGGGGGATTGTAGGGATTGATGAACAAGCCGGAGGTCAGGTGCCAAGTACCCTGCAGAGGTCTATGTGAGGGCGGTGAGAGCCTGCATTATAAGGCTTCCGGCCACAGGGACAAGCAGAGCGAGGTGACGTGTGGGGCGGGACATACAGCCACAACCTGAAGGTGGGCTGAAGCAGGGACCTGCCTGGCTCCCAGCTGCCCTTGGGCGGGTGGGTGCTGGTGAGGCCCAGACTGAGGTGGGCCGAAGGAGCCTCGGGTTCAGCTGGGGGTGCCACTCCCGGCCTGCTGTCAGGACTGGGCCACCTGGTTTCCCAGGCTGTCTGCAGGGCAGAAAGATTGCTTTGCTGGGTATTCTAGAAAGTTCCACACCATCCAGCCAGACTGCCCTTGGCTTCCTCCAGGGGAACAGGTGGTCCTGCTGTCACCCACGGCTACCTGGAGTTGCACCCCAGGTTAGGGGTGTGGCTGTGGCAAGTGTGTTTTCACGGGGACCAAGCCATTCCCCGCCCCCGCAGGGCAGCACCAGGCATACAGGGCTGGGACGACCTCGCCCACCTCAGTAACTCAGACCCCCCACTACTGCTGACCAGGAGTGGCGTGGGCACGGGTAGAATGCCAGAAAGTTCCCTGCTTTCAGTGTCCAGCGAGTCGCCCCTGGCCCCCAGCAGACAAAGGCTTTGCTTCAGCTCTTGTATTTCCTCCAGCACAGCGGTTGGCAGGGCCGCACCGGGGAGCTTCCCGGCTGCCAAGGCTGGCAGGAGAGGTGCGGGCAGCAGACAGCACCCACAGTGGCCAGCCCGGTGCCAGCATGGGATCTGGAAGCCGTCTCATTGCCCCCGGGGGAACAGCTGGATTGTACAGAATGAGCAGCTGTAGCTGGAGGCAGAGGTCTGTACCCCCACTCCGTCCCACCCCCCACTCCGTCCCACCCCCCACTGTCCCACCACCGACGGCACTGGGCTGGAGGGAGGGGAACCACAGATGCCCGCGGAGTCCTGGGACCCTGTGTGGGTGACCCAGCCAGGAGCCCGACTGGGTTCCAAACGTGGACCCCGGGTCCCTGAGCGGCAGGGGTGTTGGGTCCATGTTCAGCGCCCTCTTAAGCACCCATAGATCCTGCCATTCTACCCGGGCCCCCGCCCACTGATCTCCCAGCTCCCAGGAGAAAACAGCGCTTGGCCCATGGACGCTGTGGCTTTTAACCCCAGCTTGGTCTACACCCATTCTGAGTCTGCATCGCCCTGGCTCCCAGCAACCCTCAGGGAAGGGTGACAGCGGTGACCACACGGGGGAGGGGAGCATTAGATGTGGTCTGGAACCACCCCTCCCCCCTGCAGGGCCCCCCACTCTCGTCTGTCACGGACCTCGAGTTCCGGTGCCAGCACCTCAGGGGCGCTGGGCAAAGCGTCCCACCGGCCACATCCCCAGTCTCCCAAGCCGCAGCGGCCGCTGAAGTGCGCGCGCCCGCGAGACGGACTCACCGAGCCGTACAGCCGTCCCCGCTTGTTCATGGCCAGGTACCGGCCGGAGAAGAGCCCTTTGATGACCACCACGCCCACCTCCACGGCCGTGATCTCCAGGATACCTGGGAAGCATGGCGAAGGCGCAGCGCTCAAAGCCGAGCCGGGGTCCAGGTGCCCCGAGGCGCCGACAGCGAGGGGGAAAGCTCCAAGCAGGAGCCTGGTGTGTGGAGTCCCAGGTGCTCCCAGCAGGCTGCTCTGAGGCAGGCCCAGGTGCACCCCACCTAGCCCTCCCCAGGACGCGTCCTAAATGTGCACCTCCCTCCCGGGGCATCACAGGGCGGACTGTGAGCGCGAGCTGCGGCCTGGGGGACGGAGAGAATCGGGGGTGTCTCGGCCAGAGGACTCCCCTGGCGGCGGCTGCTCCCCACCGGAGGAGGCCGTCCCCTAGAGACGCCTTCGCAGGACTGCGGCTTTCCGCACGGAAGCTGCGGTTTCCCGCCGCCGCCTTGAACCCACCGCGCCGCTTCCTGCGCCCCAAGCGCAAGCGGACGGCCCTGGCCACACTCCCACGCTCCCCGCTGCAGTGCTGCCGACGCGCCCAGCTCGGGGCTCCTGTTCTAAGAGGCCCCTTGGCCGTGCGCTCCGGACGGGGTGCCTCTGCTGGGGAAGTGGAAGGGGGAACCCAAAACAGCCATCCTGGAGCCACCTCTCCAGCTTGGCTTCCGAGGGGACCGGTCCCCGCCGCAAGCCCTGTAGGCCTGTGGTGAGATCCTGTGTACCCTTTCCTGACCCGCACCCCGCGGACCCACCGTTCCGGCGCTCCGGTCGGTGGCAGCGGCGCGCAGGGGCAGCGGGCGGAGAAGGAAGAGAGCGCTGTAGAAGGTGACCAAGTCCCCAGGACCAGGCACCTCTGTCCAGAGCGCAACCCGGGCAACTCCTTGGATAGGTGTGCCAGGCAGGACGGGCCGAGCAACGACCAGCTCACCCTCTAAATATTGGGGGCCCCCTGCTGCTCCCCTCCCGATCCCCGCCGCTCCGGGGAGACACTCACTGTAGGCGCTGTTCTCCAGGCTGCCGTTGACGCGGCCGCTCGGGTACAGCTGCAGGTGGTACTTGGTGGCACAGTAGAGCTTGCGGCGCCTGGGCGCCCCGCCGAGGTGCTCGTAGACGCCGCCCGGGCCGGCCGCGTCGCGCCGCAGCCGCGCGCCGGGCTCCGCCGCGGGCCAGCCGGGCTCCAGCAGGCTGAGCAGCAGGAGCCAGATCAGGCCCATGGTGGCATCGCGGCCGCCCGGCGGCTGCAGGCCGGCGCCGTGCCCATGGGCAGGGACCCAGCCGAACCGCGCGGCAGGGCGCTCAGAGCCGGCTCGTGCGCCTGGAGGTGCCGACTGGAGCTCGGCGGCAAGGTGGTGGGGTGGGGAGAGGAGGGAAGGAAGGTGGGGGGGAAGAGTGAGGGAAAAGGGAGGAGGGGGAGAGAGCCAGAGAGAGAGAGAGCCTTTAATTTTCACCCAAGAGCGGCAAAATTTCCGTTACTGCGCAAAGCTCAGGAAGAAAGTACAACAAAAGGCCTCCGCGGTCGGTCCCCCGGCGGGGCGCTGCCTGCGCACCCTCGCCCCGCGCGCTCTGCCGTCGGGCCGCGGCTCCCCTGCGCCCCGCGCTGGTTCACATTACAGACTGAGGGCCCCGAGGCGGCCGCCCCAGGCCCTGTCACCCCCTCCCGCCCCCCATCAATCCCCGGGCACAATGGGACCGCGCCGGGTGAGTGATGTCCGCGAAAACAACTTGCGGAAAAGTCGCGCTGACGAACGCCCATTAAAGGCGGCGCATAAAGGAGGGGACCGCGCCGAGGGCGGCGGCGGGGAGGGTCCCGGGCGCGGGCGAATGCGTGGGGGAGCCTGCTTGCATCTCCGCGTCCTGTGAGCCCAGAGCAGCCGCGAGGCGAAGACCGAGTGCGTGTGTGTGGTAAGGAATGGCGGAGAACAGCGGGAGGTGCCTTGCGCTGCCAAGGCCCGTGGCAAGCGCCTGCCCACGTGGGAGGTTCGCGTACACACGCCGGGCCTTGGGGACCCCGAGGGGCGGGGGCTGGGGAGGTGGAAGGGAGGGCGGAGAGACTCAGAGGAAGGAGAGATGTGAGGTGGTGGGCGGGCAGCAGGGAGGGAGAGGGTCGGAGTGGACAAGGCTGGCGGAGAGGGGCCAGGGCTGGGGTGCCTTGGGAGCCACCCCCACACCTGGTTTTCATCGCACATCCTTCATCAGGCCACTTTGCTCTGTGCCCCCAGCTGCCCCCTGGCCCCAGCCCTGGATGCCCTTCTGCACCCCTCAACCCTGCCTTAGGACTTGGGATCCCAGAAACTGACTTGTGAGACTCCTGTGAGCCCCGGGGACCTGGGACATGCGTCCCACTCCCAGGAGGGTTTTAACTGTGGTTGCTTGATAGAGGACAGCCTGTTCCCGGGGAGTCCCTGCCAGCAGGCGTCCCCATGCGGTCACCTGCCCCCGGAGGGGGCGGCTGCTCAGTGCAGGGAACCCCCCTCACCATGCTGGCCCCACAGCTGGGGCCCCCAGATCCCAGCTGGGCCCTGGGCAGCCGCTCACCCACCCTCAGCCCCCTCAACTGCCTGGAGCCAGGATGTACCATCCCCATCCCTGCACCCTCCCCTGCGGTCTGGGCTCCACCAGCTACAGGCCAGGCTGAGGGCTGGGCCTGGGACCCTTCTGTATCTTTCCAGGCAAGCAGGTGGGCCTGGGGGTCCTGGACCCAGTGCTGCCATCCTGGGTGGGACTAAGCGCCCGAGCCGTCTCTTCCTCCCTCCCCCGACCATGGAACCAGGTGGGGGGCTTGTAATGTGGTAGTAGCAACCCTGTTCATTCCTTCTGAATGGGCAACTGCAGCCTTTGGACTAATAGGTCTCTTCAGGCCCTGGCTCAGCTCCCCGGGCACTGAGCCCAGGCCTTCCCCCCCAGTGGGTCATCACCCCCAAGCCCCTTGTCAGGTGCTTGGAGTCAGCACCCCCACACCCCGTCTCCGACTCCAGCCCCTCCCCTGGCGAGGGAGCTGGAAGCAGCAGGGAAGGCAGTGGAGACCCCCCTGGAAGGTGACCCCTAGTAACACCTCAGGGGGCCTGGGGGCCCTGCCCAGCCCCGCCCTGCAGGGGAGCTGTGGAGGTGCAGCCACTGGCCTGCAATTGCACAGGCCGGGGGAGGTTGCCAGGTAACGGGAAGGCCCACCTTTCTGCCCCTGCTGCAGGGAGGGGTCGGGCGTGGGCAGCTTAGAAGGGTGTGGGGCGCACCCAGCCGGGCCGCCTGGGGACCACGACTGTTGGAATGGTTTTGCTCTGTGGCATTCTGGAACAGGACATCCCTGTGGGAGGCCCGGATGGAGCTCCCAGCCTGCCCCAGCCCGAGCTGTTGCCATAAAAAAAAAGCAACAAACTAGCTAAAATTCACTCAACTCCAAGCCCTGTGACTCCGCAACAGCTGTCTGTAAGCTGAGGCGGCCAGGTGACCAAGGAGAAGGCAGTGTGGGCAGTGTGGGCATGGGGGCAGTGTGGGCATGGGGACAGTCCAGGGCCAGGCAGGAAGGAGGGAGAGGCTGGGAGACTTCATCACGCCACCCAGTGGGGTGCACAATTGGAAACTCAGCACTTGCTTCTAGAATGTTCCCCGATGGCTTCTGCAGCCTGGTTGTCTATGGGTAACGGAAACCAGGAGTGGGGTAGGACTCACCGCCCAAGCTCTCCTTGTTTCCCAGGGGACAGGGTCTGTTCCCCGTATCTGGCAGGAGCCAGGGGACAAAGCTGGCACCTGCTGGAGGCCTCCTTGGTGCCAGTTGGTCCCTGGGTGGGAGGGAGGCTGGGGCACCTGGACACTGCTGGGCTGCGAGGGGAAAGTGACCCCTCCCTGACATGTCAGCTGATGGTCCCCCTCGAGCTGGGCCTGGCTCTAGGACAACAGGGCAGCCCAGGTCGCTTACTCTGGGGACAGATGGGCCAGTGTCAGCCCCAGGGCCTGGTCACTCAGGACTCCAGCCCCCCAGAGTCTTTTTCTATTTATTAATTTTTAAAGACTTATTCATTCGTTTTATTGGAAAGGCAGATTTGCAGAGCAGAGACGGCGAATCCTCCTGTTGGCTGGTTCACTCCCCAGAGGGCCGCAGCAGCTGGAACTGAGCCCATCTGAAGCCAGGAGCTTCTTCTGGGTCTCCCATGTGGGTGCAGGTCTCAAGGGAACTGGAGCAGCCGGGACTTGAACCATACGGGATGTGGGTGCCCTAGGCTGTGTCTTTGTTTGCCACACTGCCCTGACCCTTGCTGCTGAATAACTGCCCATACTTTAACTTCTCAGTTGGGCTGTCTCCTGGCTAACAGTCTTAAAGGGTGGGGAAAGGTGTTATGACACTGACCCCTGACCCCCCCCCCCATCCCACTGGACGCCTGCTTCCAGTGTCAGAGTCACCCTGAGACACAGGTCTGCCCTCTAACACCCGTCTGTGGTGAGACAGTAACAGCACAGCCGGCAAGACAGCGGGTGTGGCCGAAGTGGGTGTCCATAGCCACGGCCACCCCAGGCAACCTCCACCCCCAGGGGCTGACAGGGCCGGCTGCTTTCGGGGCCGGCGTCTCCTTCCTTGGCCTTGTGTCCATCCGTGTGTGTCTGCACCCTTCTGTCTTCTCCAGGACCCCAGTGAGATCAGAGCCTCGCTGGCCTCGCTGTAACATAGCCGCCTCCTACAGCTGCCCCAGCCCCCACCGACTCTACTGGTGAAGTCCCCACTCCCTGCCGATTCCTGTGCCTGCAGTGGAGACCGACGTGCTGGGGGGGTTGACTGTGCTCCCCCCTCCTGCTGCTATGGGGAGGCAGCCACATCCCAGCCCCGCAGGACTCCCTTGCCGCTCCTACATCTGGACCGCCAAAACCACCTGCTGCCTCTGTAACTTCCTCTGCCTTCCTCCTCCCCTGACACCAGGCCATCCTACCGTTGCTTCCTGCTGGCAGGCAGGCCCTGCCCTTCCCTAAGTGGTGTTGCCCTGGGGAGGTGGGATGGCGGGGGTGAGGCGGTTGCTCGCCAGGCACAGGGGCAGCTCTGCCCACCCTCAGGTCCTGCCCGGAGCCTTTTTCAGCACTGCCTGAAGGCTCCTGTGTCTGCCATGCAGAGGGGTACCACGGGAAGTTCTGGCTTTGATGGAGGGGTGGGCTCTGCACGCGAGGCCTTTCTCCAGGGTGGGCCTGGCGTCTGTAATTCTCCAGAACCTACCCCAGATCACATCCGTGTGCAGGGAAGCCAGAGTGAGGCCACCTGTTCGCTGACTGTGGGCTGGCTCTCCCGCCCCTCCTCGGAGCAGGTGCCATGAAGCTCTTCCTGCACCAGCAGCCGACTGGACCTCCCCAGCGGGCGCTGGGTCCGTTGCCATTCCAGGTCCCTGCTGCGTGCCCTGCCCGCCTTGCTCCAGCTCCACCTCTGGGGGAAGGTGCTGCGACTCCCATCACCTGCCGCTCCGCCGTCTGTATCACCTGCTGCTCCTTGTTCTTCCAAATCGGCCCAAAGAGCATCCCTCCTGGGGACGCGATGCCCCTTGATGCCCCCTCCTCCGCTGTGTTTCTCTGCCAGCTGCCCCACAGCACATCTCTGTCTCTCCTGGGACCCGACTGGCCTGGCGGGACTCCTCCCTGCTGGTGAGTGAGCGAGGTTGGCTGCTTGAACAGGGAAAAGAGGTCTCTGAGGCCAGACTGTCCCCGCCCGCCTCCAGGCAGTGTGGGGTGACCACTGGGGACAGTGGACGAGTTCCCTGCGACATGTGCCTGAGGGTTGCAGAAGGGCCCGCACCAGCCGCCCGTGGGACGCAGGACAGTGGCCCTGACAACCCCTGGTGCTGGAGTGGGACAGGAAGATCCACGCAGGCTGGCACTGGGTGGCGGGTGGGCTCCGGCTCAGCCCCCTCAGCCCGGATGTCAAGGGCTGCCTGGGGCCACGTGTCCCAGGCCTGTGGCTTCCATCTTGAGTCTGAAGTTCCCGGGATCCTGCGTCCTGCCCTCTCCCCCCACCGCCATGGTCACCGTTAGGCCGGTGGAAAGCTCTGGAAAACGCTGGCTGGGTGAGTCTTTCTTGGGGGATGGGCGTGAAGAGCGTCCAGAGCTGCCAGGACGTTTTTTGGCTTCTGACTTCTGACCCCCAGGGGTGGCGGGCCTTGCTCGGGGAGGGGGGGGCCTGGGAGCGCTGGGCACCTGCTTGTGGCTAGAAGATCCACCCGGTTCCTTTTGTCTCTCAAAGCTTTGA